AGGTTCAAGCACTACAAACCTGAACATCATTCTAGCAGAGTTGCGTTTTGCCAGTAGCTTTCAGAACAGTTCGTCAGAAATTAAGATTTTACGTAATTTATTTTGTGTACAGACGAGGCCTTGCGATTTTTATTTGTGTTGCTACTTGAAAGAGTTGGTGTATCATAATCGATTAGTAAATACTCTGGAGGAACTTCAACAGCGGTCTGAAAATGCTTGTGACTTAATTCGTGGACACCAGGATTTTATTTTCGAAGCTTGAAAACAGTCGTGGGTTCACCGAGGAAGATTTTGCGTTAATCGAATGAATGGGAACAATTTTGAGCAGTTTTTGTAAAAACGGTATCCATTTAACTTGATAATAATTTTTTTAAACAATTTTTAATAATGTGAACTAACTCTCTTATTATGCAACTTTTATATAGGTGATGTTTGATCCTTCTTATCTGAATGCCGCCGGGAATAGTGACTTTTGTAGGCTGGGAACGAATTTATATGTTTCTTAAGTTCATCAATCTTGGATTGCGGCGTTTTTTGGGGAGGTCAGATTTTCCCTCTCAAGTCCTCATGGTTAATTCCGCTAGTCAAAAACACACGTGTAAAAAATATAAACATCCTCTACTTCGCTTTAACTGAAAAGCGCGGGAAATATCAGTTTAGTCAGTTAGAAGGGAATTTAAAACTACATTTCTGTTATGAAGAGAGGCATAAGTATTGCTGTGCCTAATACATGGTTGGCCTAGGTGGACATAAGTCTTAGTTTGAACAATTTATCATTCGAGGTTTAGTTGGAACGGGTGACGTTGTCTTATGCCGGTAGTATGGATCTTTTCGGGATGGTATGTGTACATACTCCTGTGTTAGTGAATGCACAAGTGACACATATACATAATTCAGCTTGTGCTATATCGCTGCAGATCTTTATAAAATAAACAAAACTTATTAATGCTAAGTCTCTCGGTTTCATAAATAATAAAATAACTCACAAGTCTGGAAAATATGCCATCAAAAAGATCTAACATGAGAAAGAACGCTACAGGAATGGTCTTTCGGCTGCCCGGCACGGGTATTAATTAAAAAAACCTTTATAACGTAAAAAAACTATAAAATGTCATCTTGCAGACTAGGTAGCTTTTAGTGGACAAACAGTCATTCCACGTTTGCTCACTAGGATCATTGTGAGCGTCCATCAATGGAGGAATGACTCAGCTACACGCATTGTTGGTTGCATATGTTTTGTAGTTTTCATCTCTGAGAAGAAAGTTGGTTGAATAGCAAGGTCGCATCTGGATGATTACCTGTGGCCGACGAGATATTCATGTGTTGTCCTTTCTGAAGACAGGAATGTTCAAAGTTATAAATTACGTTTTTTTACTTTTTTGTGTTTTCAAAAACTTTGAGGAGAATTACGGGATATCACCACCGCGCCCATGTTGTGTGTAATTACTGTTAGGGTGTATATGACTTATAATTCGACAGTATGCAGTAGATATAGTTATTTTTTATCTATATCATTTTAGAAATTTACCAAATTTGCATATGGAATTTCGAGAATGGATAAGAAAAAGTAGATGCACAACTAGTTTCTAGCTTTGAGTCTCAAGTGAGTGTATTTGAGACAAGAATCCAATTATCATCAGCACATATTGTTAGCACACAAATCCTCAGTATGCACCTATAGTCAACGCCAAACAAAGTGGCGTGCACGTCATCAAGGTGGGTGTGTTGAAAAATTTACATTGTTACCAAACTTTTTGTAAAATAATAAAATTTATTATTTACATATCTAGGTTTATAAGCAATATTAACCTCAAATGAGAACAAAAATAATAGTATAATAAAATTATAGATCTGTACTTGCATAATCATTAAGTATGACAATTATTGATCAGATGACACTATGAAACTACCATATTTAATTGATAGCTTAAAGGTACTGAATAAAAATCCAAATGGGGTCCTCCAAATTTTATGCATGGTATTTATTTTACAGAATTCATACAGAAAAATGCATTCTAAAATTAGGTAAGCTACTGGTGTAAGCTTTTTCTGTACAATAAAGTTAGTCGGAGTTTCTTTCTTCAGCGCTGTCTGAATCTGAATCTTCATCACTCTCAAAGTTGATTATTAAAGGTTCGATGTCTGGTCGATCAAAAATTCGTTCTCTTTCATACCATTTAAAAATTTCTTGCTCAGTATGTCGAACACTATTTTTCCACATGTCTGGGGTAACCGCTTGTAGAGCCTCGTTCCACATATCCAAACAGTCTTTTTCACTGTTACCATCTCTACCAATATGTCTGTTATAGTAACCTTTTGCTATGCCCCAAATTAACTCAATAGGGTTAAATATACAATGGTAAGGAGGCAGACGAAGAACTTTGTGCCCATGTTGTTCCGCCAATTCATCAATCACGTATATTTTAGGTGGTTTGTTTCTAACAAAGCAGTTATTTTAAGAATAGGAATAAACAAAAGAAATATAAACTGTCGACCAAAATATATATAATTAAGAAGCATTATGTACCGAGCAACAATACTCAATAGCTCTGTTTTAAACATTGTGTTTAAAAATGGTATGTTTTGATTTGTCAACCAGTCTTGGATATTTTTTTTGTCCATGCATTGTTGGGCACTTTGTTCAATATCATGCTGTGATAAGGGGCGTTATCCAGTATAATCATAGATGGACTCTCCAATTTTTCTAATAACTGATGTTGAAACCATTTCAAAAAATTGTCCTGGTTCATCTCTCCATGGTAATCGCTCAATTTTGTTTTCGAAGAAAATATCGCTTCACTACCCTCAATAAACCCATTTTCATTTCCAGCATGTAATATAATGTATCTAAAATATATTAGTTTTAAATTTTATAGTGCAAATTGTGTAAAAGTACATACCTTTTATCATCTGTTTTAATAGCTTTCACGCTTTTTTGGTTTCCATTTTGCCAAGAGCGACCTATGGTCCCATTTTGAAATATCCAAGTTTCATCGAGGAAGACAAACTGGTATAAGGCCTCAACCTTGGCTTGATTGTATTGCCTTAGAAATTCCACCCTTTTCAAAGCTATACTTGGTAGTTCCATGAGCCATCGTCGCGGATTGTCCTTAAGCCACTTAAATCCAAGATCTCTAAGCAACCGCCTTAAAGACGTGGCACTACCATCAAATAATGCCCTATCTCTTAATCGAGACCATAAAGTTTGTATCGTAACTTGTTCTTCTGAAACCATGTGTAATATGACATTATAATTTAGTTAACAAATTAATGCAAATTTCTGATAAGTTATTATAATAAGATCTTACTTTTGTGATACATATTATAGATCACTTCTCGAATGGCACTTGTATCCAATGTCGCTGTGTTGGTTACACGTTTAATATAACTCCGCTTTTTCTTGGGCGATTCTAAACTTGCATCACTTTTCACACCCTCGGAAATACGACTAACTAATTTTTAAAGCAGCAGCAACACGCTACAAAAAATGAAATAAAATTTCACTATTATTAATATACATTACATATAATTATTAGTAACCTACCTCTTGAACAGCATTTAAAGGCAACAAAGGCCCGTTGTTGTCCCTTTCTTGCTCAAAGTAGTGCATTAACGAGGCCACGAGTTCCTTACACCGACTATTTAACTGTTTGGGCATCTTTATATACCAAAATTGCCTTTATCTACTCGTAAAATGAATAATTTTGTTTTGAAACAAACAGTTGTTGATTTACAGTATGCGGGGCCAAAGGATTTATAAAGATTTGAAATGCCACAAATTGATTCAGTGTCAAAATTAATACAAATGTCAGTTCCCAGTTTAAATAAGTTTCAAGGTGACAATGTGTCAACGCTGCGAAATCGGTTTAGTGCGTTTACATGTCGATAAGTGATTGGAGCGTTTGCAAAACATTTTATTTCGCATAATGCGTATAAATTTATCAGAAAGCAACTTATGTGATATTTTAATAACAATGTTTATATGACTATTAACCATAATAAGAGAGTAATGACCATTTTACAATTTATATATCACATTAATATGAAACTGCAATAGAGCAATTGTTTGTGATAGAAATCTAGGCATTAGGTCGGGGAATTTTTATCGTGATGACGTGCACGCCACTTTGTTTGGCGTTGACTATATGTACTGCCGTTTCCTTCTAGCTATAGTATACAACTTACAGCTCAGACCTCCGGCAATGCCATCTCTGAAGCAGATTTTACATCATATCGGAGACAAATATTGATAACTGCAGCCTCATGACATTTAGGCAGTACGTACAACTACAAGACGAGTTCGCAAGTGTCCATCAGCTGATGCTAAGTTAACATCCTATAGAAAAACCTACTGTCACAAAAAACAATACAATGTCAAAAAAAATCGACATAATGTCACAATTCAGGATACATAATACCCGTGCGGATGAATAGGCGCAGGCGGATGCAAGGCCGTGACCTGACGCAGTAATAGCCAAGTCTAGTAGTGAACTTCATTACGAGATTGGATTTTGTTCCCACTATTAATCCATTTTAAAGAGCTCAGGCGATATGTGAAGCAGAATATATCAAATTAGAAGGTCTAATATTTAATGTGGAACTTCTGTCCATAATAAGAAGGCATGTTTTTATTTGAGGTTTCCGTAAAAACAGTTACGACCGAATTAGAAGCCGATATAAAGTTATTTGAAAGATACTGCTAGAGATTTAAATTTAAGAAAGATAATCGTGTAGCTTAATAGCGGGTTTATTGTCTACAATAATAATTTTCTCATTTTCATATTTTTTGTCATAATTTTAGATTATTCTGATATATTGAAGAAATATAAATTACAGGTGACCTAATGGCCGAAGCAAGGGACGCTAATGTTTACGAAGATTCGTATTCACCTTAATAGACGGTCAAGCCTCAGATGCATGTTTTTTTACGACTGTTACGACTCAACATATGGTATATGTACCAAATACGTTGTGTTATTCGCTCAGTTCCACTTGAATCGCACGTTTATCAAGAGCAGACATCAAAACAACATACTGTTGATGATTTCCGTTATACTTTATCGGATAATATTATTACACAGCTTCTGTTAGAATACACTTAAGCTAGGTACGTTTTGAGGTGTGATGTTTATTCGCTTTGATATGTATTTTTGAAGTAGACAAGTCAATAAGCTGAAGGTTGATGACACTGATACATGAATATCTTATTTCAGTGGGAAAGTGAGCGTCAACTGGAACTATTTTTTTAAATGGAATGGGTGGTCATTAAATACCTAATTGTGCAGCTCCTTGTGAATATGTACGCTATGATATGTTATATCAATCCCTTTAGATCTATCTGAATATGTAATAGAATATGAAATATTCATAAAGGAAATCTATAATTTATTTCTTAACTAAATCTTCCATATCTAATTGCACATCCAAATAGAAACTTCCAAACTAGTAACACTGATATATATATACATAACATCTTTACGTTTTGATGATCAGCTGTTGTTATAGGTGATTAAATGTACAAAAGTGCGCGACATTGGCGGCCCCAGTCCATCATTTGCATTTACAGCCCCAGTCCATCATTTCGGAAGATAATAAATTTATATTCTAGGATCATAAGGTGCTTCAGACTATCTATTTCATCTAAAGAAAAAAACATACAAGTCGGCGTCCAGCCGCATTCTTCAAATTTCTAACTGCTAATTTGAAACTAAGATATAGTATTCATTAATTAGTTTGATTACCCGCTCTCTAGATCACCATACTTGTCACTTGTGCACTAGCCAGTCGCTGGCCCATGCCATACGTACATACTGTGAGTGCCAACGACTTATAGTATTAAACTTACAGCTTAGGCCATAGAAGCTACGAATGGCCTCCGCTAGTACCATCTCTGAAGTAGATGTTACTTACCGCCACGGGTATCACGTAGCTTGAAAAGTGACATTATGCCGATTTTTTTTGACATTATGCTGATCTTTTTTGACATTATGTAGGTTATTCTACAAGATCTTAACTTAGCACCAAGTTGTACGTGTTGCCTAGACGTCATGAGGCTTGTTAAAAATCTTTGGCTCAGATGTGACTTAAAATCTGCTTCTGAGATGGCATTACTGGAAGTCTAAGCTGTAAGTTGTATGTGTTGATGATAATTACATTGGGTTCTTGTCTCAAATACACTTAATTGAGATTCAAAGCTAGAAATTAGTTGCGCATCCACTTTTTCTTATTGATTCTGGAAATTACATTACAAGTATACAAATTTGCTGAATTTGAAAAATGAGAGAGATAAGAAATAATTATATTCTTTGTACACTGTCGAATTACAAGTCATATACATGCTAACAGTAATTACACACAACGCGGGCGCGGTGATGATTTCACATAATTCTCCTCAGTTTTTAATTTATAACTTTGAACATAACCTCTCTTCAGAAAGCACAACATTTAAATAACCCGTCATATTTGGTATATTCAGTAATGATTTTCTCACACAGCAAATATCACTGATTTTATACTCATGCAGACCAATACACATAATAATCCAGTTGCGATCTTGCTATTCAACCAACTACTAACGGACTGTTTTAACTACCCATTTGACTGCGCTTGGAATGGTGAAATGCAGATCTTTCACAAAGGGTACCGTTAGTGGAAATAGATGTACAGTATATTTTTCACTCAGCACTCATTTGTAATTTTAGATAAAATAGGATGGACCGGTACTAGCACAAAAACCATTGCATTTACGTACACTAGTTATATGTTATAATTAGCGCCCTCTGCATAATATGTTGGGAAAGACAGCATGAAAGTATTATTCCCCGTATTCATTTTTGAAGTCATTGTCGCGAAAATAAGTTATATACAAACAGCCCCATATCTCATTAACGGTAGATTTTACCAAAGCATATGTATCTGCACACAAAAAGTGTATCATCGATATGAAACTACAAGGGTCAGTCTGATTCTTGCTTACTCACCTTATGTACTCTTAACGTACTACAGTAAAAACAGTTATTAGTAATAATGCGTTTCCCAAGGGTTTCCCGTAGATGAAATTAGTTTGGATTAAATGTATTTGTTACTACTAGAATTCACCGCCACTTATTAATGGATGTTTGTGAAAACTAGTTCTAACCAGGCGTTTTGTCAAAGTGATTCTGTTGAAACTGCTTCAATCGAAGTTGAAAGTCGCCTTGCCTCTGATTGGTTGGTTCGTTTTTGTTAAGCTGTTTTAACATATGAGGCGGCGACGGGCGCAATACTTGTCCATCTTCAGGTCTTTTTTACTGACAAAACGTTCAACGACATTATTTGGTTCAGACAGAAAGAATAAGTACGAGGTACCGACGGTTTCAAGAAAATAAACTCCGACTAAATAAAAAGAACTTCAGAGCACAAACGTGAACTACAGTGAGGGTGATATCATCAGTCGTTCCTGCAATAAATTGTAGGATGCCTTTGTGGCCTCCTTGATTTTCATTGTTTTCTACTGTTCTGTGTCAGCGTTCTACTTTGAGGTTATGTTACAAATATTTATTTGCGTCAAACTGTTCATACTTTTGATTTATATCATCTGTTATATTAGCCTGAAATTTCCCACAATTCAAAAACAAAACATAGCCTCACAATATGAGAGCCCTGATTCTGACACGCAAAAGTAGAAATCTAAAAATAGCCCAGCATGTCTGAAGGAGAGAAGAGGCCATGAAAATCAAGGAGGCCATAAAGACGTGTTACAAAAATTGTAGGAACGACTGACCGTACGGCCCTAAAATGTAGATTTTCATAACCAACCAGCAATATGACGTGCAACAGAAGCAATAACTCGAGCAATTGTGCACTGTGACACACAGAAATGAGCTCCATTTATCTCAAATGATCCATTCGGATAAAAGCAAATTGTTATTAAAACCAATTTTTTCCGAAAACAGACCTGTTTCAATTCTTTAGCTATCTGCTGGTTTTCCAAAAACGGCTTTATCCATCGTGAGCTGTTTTTTAACTGTGAAGCACCCAATTTGTTAAACAGATCATTTTGAGGCCGCGGTGAACATTCACTACGTTGTATATCTATATTTCAATTATGAAAATACAAAAAGGGGAATCTTATATTACAAGGGTAACAAGTGCATTGGTATTTTTTGAATGCTCCTGATATTAATGTGAAGCACCTTCAGTCCGGGTTCTGATTTCGTTCTAAGAAAATGTTCAGCATTTATCAAGTTTGCAAGTATTGCAGTTTTAACTCTTTGTACTTTAAAATCTCTTATATACGTGTCCATATTTATTTATATGCAATATATAACAACGACAAGACACAAGTTTGCACTAATTGTCCACTAAAACATCCATCATTGCAACTAGTATTTTATTGGTCTGACGGTCCTTTTCGCATAGATCTTGCACAACAAAAACACTGCCACCTCCAAGCTTGTGTACGTATTGAAACAGTTGTTGTTTTTTGAAGTACAAAATAAACTCAAACTTAACAGGGCAGTTTTGTAAATCGTTGTTAGATTTGTTTATTCCTAACAGGTTGTTTAATTTCCCTGTTGGTATATCTGCTAGATTAGCAGTTTTGCTATCAACTTCCAGTCCAAGTATATTATTTTTCCCGACGGCTCTTTCCAATTGTAAATTCTGTTACTCCAGTTTTTTGTATGATTTTTCCAGTAATTCGAGCTTTTCGTCTTGCTGTTTTACAAGATTCAAAATTTTCGCGTTCTCTAGTTTTATTTCTTGGACCTCTTGCTTGATTTCACTTTTAATACTGTTGCTCTCTTTTTTTATTAATTCCACTAATTTCGAGAGCAGCTCTGTATTACTTAGATCATTGCCTCTAGTCATTTCGAAAAATTAGGCAGTAACATTAGTCAGGTGTAGAGACAAAAAGTGGAAAATAAAATCGCTAAAATCTCAGTTAACTCTGTGGTATCAGCTCTTGTACTATCAGCGTTTCTTTTGTTAGGAACTTAATCTTCTATGGACTGTATTAACAAAAAAAAAAAACACCAACTTTTCTTTCTTCTTTGCACGTATGTTTTTTGTAGCAGAAAAATTGCTTATATTCGCCTATGCACTTTGTCTGGAAGTCTCACTTCACAAGCTTGTTAACTGTACTAATTACTAGCGTTTGCTTGAGAATTCCAAAATTTTCGAGCACTTTTGACAACTCAAAAACAACGAAATTATAACAGAACACGTCCAGCGACATGAACACCCATGAACAATTTTGATTATTATGCCTAATATTGTCTTTTGTTTCAATATTGTCTCTATCCCGATTGCGTCTACGTTCCGATTTTGCGTCTCCGTCCCGAATGTATCTTTTTAAACATTTTACCAGCACTTGTCTAATAAATTTTATATATATATATATTTGTTTTGTTTAGTTTTTTTTTTAGTCTTAAGTTATTTATACATGAGCTCATGCCCAAGCACAAGCTTCTGCGAAACTTTTTTTTGGGTCCAATCGTTTATTGTATAATATTTCTTTCATCTACTGCTGCTATACTTTTTCTTTTTCAATAAACTTTATTAATACAAATAAAAACATTTGCAATGCTAGAGTGACAGAAATCAAACGTTCGTGACCATCATCATTGTCTCTTCGCATCTGTTGAATTTATTATTTCATAATTTCATATATCTATTATATGCACTCACTAACTTGTAACTCGTCAGTACTCATAGCAAACTTTTCCTTGGAATTGTAACAAAATCTATGTAGAAATACTACAGTCCGCATATTAATACAATAATGTATGCTTGCCTGAACAGTAGGCTTTTTGGAAAAATGCAAGTAGACCATGACGTTGTATCTGTTTCTACCTATACGGTTGGAGTAACTATCTATCATGCATACGGAATTTTACGTCCCCATAGACACGATATGATTTAGGAGAGAAGTTGAAGGTATGATCAGTTTATGCTTGATGTACAAATGTAGACGGATACAGCTAGAGGAGTCTAAGCGGGTCTGTTCATCACCCACGACTGATCGAAGGTACGTTAGCGTGATATAGGCCAAGAGACATGGAGATTTCTCATAAAGAAATCCTAAAATAATTGCAGAACTTGATTTACTTTGTAGTATTCTTAGACTACTGCTTCTTAAAGTAAATAGATATTGGTTTGAGCAAAAATCTTGAAAACCATCGATCCCAGATGAAAAAGTAATAGGAACAATTCTGTAGGAAAATGCTTGCAAAAAATGTATTGTATCTAAGAGTATACAACACTACTATATTTTCCGTCAATTTGACGGTTCTTGAAGTACAAGGAGGCAAAGTTAAGAATTCGTACCAGAACACTTACTCCACACACTACGTACAAAGTCCACGTTATTTGAACACATTATTTCACCTGGAGATAACTCTATCATCATCAAGAATACCATTTTAGGGTGAATCAAATTTTTTACCACCACGTGCATGTAAAATGTAATATTCTTTATTGATCTGTGATGTTTTTGTTGGAGAGACTAAGTCGTTCAATTCCATCAGCCTGTCTTTTGGAGATCTTCTCACAGCTTATTTTCAGTACCTGTTGTAGCGATTTGATATAAAAGATTTAGTAGATGATGCTGGCTTATGGAATGGAATCCACGTGGTTTGATGTTTTCCAGACCACATTTTCTTCCCTTTTTGAGACGGGATTCTATTATTGCTCACGTTCGAATGAAAAAGTAGTCTTCGTTTTATCCATGTATCGACTTTCAACCAACTAGTCAATTTTTTAAATGCTGTAGCATGTAATTATACTTTCAAGTTTGATATATCTGATAACCTCGAGGGGACGTCGTGCAGGGAGAGCACTAAACCTTGATGTAGTTGTTTTAATTGAAACATGAGCTTTAGAGATATTTTTTTCTCTAATTATGCCCTCAATCCTAAGTAAAATTTGGAATAGATTAATTACTTTACATTATGTAATAAAATTAATTATAATCACAGAAACAAAAATCTAAAACACGAGCAAAATGTTTTATTTTTTGAATTTTTTATGAAATACGTCATATAAATAAAGTATGTGAATTACTTATTTAAAATTGCACTTACGTCCTTCTCCCACCTCCAATACCCAACGTCCCTTATGGAGACCATATGCTATTTCATAGTGTAACATCCTGTATAGTATAGAGCGTTAGGCCACACTTTGGGATATGTCATGAGTAGTAAAATCCATTAGAAGAAAAGTCGCCGACAAGATCTATCGAAATGACGGAGACGCATGTCGTCAAGATAACAGATTATACAGGGTGTTCCATAATTATTGCGACAAAATGATAGGGGTTGTAGAGGGCATCAAAATGAACAATTTTGCTTTATAAACCCCTGTTCGGAAATATGCCGCTTGGGATGCAGCAAAAAAAAAAGATCAGTTTCTTGAAACAGCTTACCTACAGTAATTGCTCAAAGTGTCCTCCACCTTGCTCAATACACAGCTGTGCACGATTGTTCAATGATCGGCGAACTCTGTGGCATACCCCCGGTTTGTCCTGAACATGTGCGGACGCGGCCATCACTCTTCCCAGTAGCTCTTGTTGGTTGGGAACAGTAGTTTCGTACACTAAAGCTTTCAGATGACCCCAGAGAAAATAATCCAGTGGGGTCAGGTCGGGTGACCGCGCAGGCCAAGGCACAGGGCCACCTCGGCCTATCCACCTATTTGTCGTCCAAATACTGCCGCACTTGTAAAGAAAAGTGGGCTGGAGCGCCATCGTGTTGAAACCACGTGTTGGCTCTTATGTTCAGTGGCACATTTTCTAATAGTTCCGGTAGCACATGTTGTAAGAATCGACCATAAGCATGCCCATCCAAACGTGGTGGAAGCAAATATGACCCGATGATATGCTCGTCCACAATGCCGCACCAGATGTGAATTGAAAACTATGTTGGTCTCTATGGATGGCTATGGCATGAGGGTTTTCTTCATCCCAAAGGTGACTGTTACGGCTATTAAAATAACCGTCCTTTGTGAAACAGGACTCGTCAGTGAACAAAACGTAGCGACCAACTCCCTCAACTCCTGCTGCAGCCACCAACGACAAAAACGTCGACGCGGCAGATAGTTTTCTGGACCCATGGCTTGGACTTTTAAAAGGTGGTATGGGTGTAGTTGCTGGTCATGGAGAACCCGCCAAGCAGTAGTTTGAGACGCTCCCATTTCATGTGCAATAGCACGCACGCTTGTACGCGGATTGGCCTCTAGTTTGACGCACCACTCAGATAAATTAAATGAATCGGTGTGGAGAATTTACGATAACAAAAATGTAAACACAGCAGGCTTTTTTTTACAAATCGGCGAGACCATGAAATGTGCTAGACGAACATTTTGCAGCTGTTGAATTTTTTGTTTCTCTTAAGGTAAAATTAGCGGTAGTGCTCAAACGGCATATTTACGAACAGGGGTTTATAAGGCAAAATTGCATATTTTTATGCCCTCTACAACCCCTATCATTTTGTCGCAATAATTATGGAACACCCTGTATATATTTGTTTTAGAACGGTAGACTTGATTGTGTGTCTATAATGCGTTAACCGGAAAAGAAACACTACTATTCGTCATTTATTTGTCTGGGCGGTCCGTAGGACCCTTGCCCATGAGTCACTGTCTGATGTACGTTAGTCGAATCTGTCAGTCCTGGTTGCCCAGAAACCAGACAAAGTCAAGGAAAAAGAGAAAGGGAAAGAGAAGAAAAAAGGAGAAGAGCAAAGAAAAACAGATATGCTTAGTTTAAGAGGAAACACCTAGGCTTTTTGACTTGGTAGACGGATTAATTTTGAGGTGAACTAAACAAATTTTTGATTCGGTTTTGTTAGAGTGTAATTTCGAGTTTACTAAAGATTCACGCTAACCTTTGATTACAGTGCGAGCCGTGGCCTTGAATGTTTACGAACTTGCTCCACTGTGTAGTCCACTGAGTCACGCAACAGAGGGTTGCTGTGCGATTCCGCTTGACTATAACGTCGCTGCGCCTGAAGCTTGACATAATCCCTCAAGTAGTAGAAGACTTTGCATGTGTGTCTTGGCAGGAAAACCCCAAGCCGCACATGCATAAGTAATGGTTGGTCTAATAATCATTTTATATAGTCGAACTTTGTTCATCAAACTCAATTTGGAGGATCTACATAACAAAGGATATAGTTGCCGAAACGCAATTTGGAATTTTTTTTATGGATGCTGTATGTTTCTGCCAGGTCATGCCTTTATCAAGGGTGACACCGAGATACTTGGCAGAATTTGTCCATGGTACACGATTCCCGTCTACAGAAACCTCTGCTGGGGGGCCGCGACGTTTTTTGGTACAATAAATAGCCTGCCAGTACACGACTGGGCGACAAGTGCAGTGTCGTCAGCATAGAGGTAGACTTCACAGTTGCTGGGGGAAGGGACATCATGGATGAAAAGCGAATAAAGGAAAACCCTTTTGGATTAGTTTATAGAGGAGGCCCGCGTGCCACACCTTGTCAAAGGCTTTTGAGACATCCAAAAGCAAGATGCCAGTACAAATGCTGAGGGTGAACCCTCTGGTTACATGCTCCACCAGCCTGACTGCCTGTAGCTCGGTGCTATGCTCGGACCGAAAACCGAATTGGACGTCAGGAATCACATGGTGATTTGACGAAAAATTCTTAAGGTGACGATAAATCACCTTTTCGGCGAGCTTAGAAGGAGCTGACAGCAGACTTATGGGGCGGTAATCCTGAGGAAATATCGAACCCACCTTCTTTGGAATCATGATGACCTCAGCAGTCTTCCACCCAGCAGGGAAGCACTGGATTTTGAGCGTCGCATAGATTCTTGTCACCAAGTATGTCAGGGCTTTCGGCGAGAGCAGCTTCAACGCCTTGTTGGTGATTTGATCCTCCCCAGGTGCTTTACGCACCTTGAGGTTTTTAATATGACTGAGTAACTCCGCTGGTGTGCAATGTGGAAACTCGGAGGGTTCCGCTAATGTGCTATGTGGAGCCTCAGATGAATCTTCTGAAGAAGAGTCATCTGAAGATGATTCAGTGCCTGCGCTAACGCCGTTGGTCCTAAAATATCTCCTAACGGATCGTACGATGTGCTGTTCCTCGTCTAGGTCATTATTGAGATCATAGTTGGGAGAGAACTGTTTTTCCATGGCATTAGCGAAAACCTCGACCTTATCCTCCGTTCTGAAGACTATGCCTTCAGGACCGTGGATGTGTGGGAGTTGTTCTCGCTTTCCGTTTCTGAGTGACTTTGCGACCCTCCAGAGAGGAATACTTGAATCAAGCATTCCCGCCAGAAAGTCGCTCCATTGCTCGTTGCGGAGTTCGTGCAGTGCGTTTCTCACTTCATGGATAAGATTTGTAGCCCTACGAATGTCATCAGGATGACAAGACCTTTTTGCCTGCTTAATAGCGGCTCTTTTGTCAGAGATTTTCTGACGAATGTCCGCAGGCAAAAAAGGTCTGCCGTGTCGTTGTACAGGAAATACAGCTGCACGCTGTAGAGCTGCTTGAATGAAACTTGTCCACTCCGGTTGAGCGGCATCTATTCCAGACTCATCATCTATAATCGGGATATTGGGAAACTCTCTAAGGAGCAACTTGTATAGGTCCCAATCAATGCGTTTCCTTGGAGGAGCTGCCTCCTCAGAAGTTTGCTCATTGCCCACATCCAAGACAACAGGTAGAGATGGTCACTAGAGATATCATACAAGATTCGAGAAGAGATACTGTATCTACAGTTTTTAGATATCGCGAAATCGATGACATCTGGTGCCTGAAGATGGTTGAATGGATGATGTGTCGGCACTTCAGTGCTATGTATAAGGTACCCATTTCGCATCACATGGTTGTACAATCGAACCCCACTAGTGGAATTCAACCTAGAATTCCATGCTCGATGTTTGCAGTTGAAGTCCCCTGCCACAATAAGCGGACCCGAGTATTCCAAAAGGACCTCCAGATCCGCCTCTTGTAGCCTGGCACCACACCTGACATACACCGATGTGATCTTCAACGAGACACCTCCCGCCAAATTGACCACCACAGAAGCTGCTTCGATGCTATGCATCTCCGCATTAGTGCTTCTATAATAGTCTATACCACGTTTAATCAACACTGCTAAACCGCCGCCTCGACGATTCAATCTGTCACCTCGGATAACATCATAATTCGGGAGAGCTAAACGATCTCCCGGATTAAGCAACGTTTCCTGCAGCAAGGCCACATCTATACCTTCATCCAAAAGAGCTTGATGAAATTCCCGTTTTTTGGGAATATCCCTCATGCCCAAACAATTCCAAAAAAGAATTTTAATGAATGCAGGCTGTCTACTATTGTACCTAGACATTTACAGAAATATCGCCTGCAACGCTTGGGTAGCGCTAATCAGTGGGCTTATTATTTGTTGTAAGGACCTTAGCGCGGTTGCCAGGTCCATATTTTGCTTGCTCAAGGGAGGTTGGGCAGAGGGGGCAGGCAAGGTTGCCTCCCGAGCCGCGTCCGCGTATGATATATTGCGCCTTTGCGCTATAACTGGCAAGTTCCTCCTTTGAATGAACTTGCAAGTCCGGCTATTTGCGGGATGTCCCTCTCCACCGTTTGCGCACTTGCGTTCTTCCTCTTCTGTGAGGAGGCACAAATGCGTCATGTGGTCCTTTGCACATTTTAAGCATTTGGGCGGTGCAGTGCAATATGACTGCGCATGCCCATACTTTTGGCAGCGGTGACACTGCCCAATGAGTCTGGAGTTCTTCTGAACCTCAACTTGAATGGCCAGTCCCAGCAGTTCGTGTTCGTTGAACACTTGCTGAGACTTTTCAGTCTTGGGCAGTATCACGACCACCAAAGGCATGGGCGCGCCGCCGCTGCGCTTCAATCGAATGATGTGAAGAGGGCTATATCCCCTCTGCTCCAGTTCTCCCTTAATCTCAGTATCCGAAAAGTTGACGGGAACTCCTCGAACCACCGCATGGATGTTCCGTTCCGAAGGGAGATTAAAAGTGTGATGGGGCACTTCTTCCTCTCGGAATAGGCGAACGATCTTACGGTAGTCGTTCTCGGATTTAGGAATAATCCTTATTCCCGCATCGACGGCAACCGCGCGATCTATTTTAATACCTAGGGAAATAAACTTGAAATTTAAAGTACGCCATCTCGTCCCGTCGCGTAAGACGATCGGGGTTATGCGCCCTTGTCGTGAGGGTTGTGTTGATGCCACGACGGTTGGACGAGATGACGGAGGAGAAGTAACATCGGCTGACGGAGTCACCTGACAGGTAGATAACGTGGTCCCTGGCTTGGTAATAGAAGCATTAATAGTGTTTCGATTTGATGAATTGGGGGAGGTGTGAAATGGAATTGATCCTGTATTCGGAAGAGGAGGAAAGTCTTGGGTTGATCGATCAGCCTTGTCGCCTTTCCTCCTTCTTGATTTTGCTTTTACAAATCCTTCAGTCTGTACGTCTTCGTCTGTGGATGTGAGATGATCATCAGAAACGTTTCTCAGTGGTCTTTGTCCGTTCTTTAGGGGATTCTTTTGAATTTAGTAATATGGTTACCTGGGCGGTAAGGCTGTCAATTTTGGCTGTCTGGTCCTTGATGGTCTCCATTAGGTTTCGAATCTGCCTCGCCTGGTCGTCTATAATCAGCATCAGTTTCTCGATCGTTTTCTGCTCCGATGACATCTGCGTCAGTGAGCTCATGTTTTCTGCTTCTGCTTGGTTTCCACCACCGCTCAGCTCTTTCCTCATAGTATGTGGAACTGCGTCGTCTGTTGATCCTCCTGGGTCAACTTCCATCTTTTCAAAACTTTTTCTCGCCAACAAATCTCAGAAAACTTATAGATCGCAAATGTGACAATGTTGTCAAAACCCTTTTTACAGGGCATTATCAAAAGAAACACTTTTATTTTATCGACCTGATCTTGTTACTTTACTATTCATGTATTATTGCTACAGTTTAGGTTCCACGATTGTCAATGTAGACTTACTAAAAGTTATGAGAAACGTATCGATCACGCTTATATCTAGTTAAAAGAAGTAAAAAAAGCAGTCTTGCAAAAAGCGTTACTTGTCACGTTATAACACAACAGGGTAAGAAAGAAGAAGAAACCGCGAGGAAGAAGAAACTCCATAAAACATTAATTTGGTAAGATCTTATTTCTTAACTAGAGTCCATTAGGAAACATCGGTATTTCTAGAAAAATCCATCAGCGAGACTTTTTAACATGGTGTTTGCGAAGTGTAGTTGCATTTCTGGCAAATTATTCAGGGCAATATTTGAAGATAACAATGGAAAAATTCTTCTTGGATGGCAATGTTTACCAGTGTATGATAATAATGAAATAACGCAATGCAAGAAGTGTCTTCGCTTCAATCACACCGAGAAAAAATGCCGCAATAACAAGACCTGTACCAACTGCAGCAAAGAGGATGTACACGATACTGAGTGTTGTAAGCATGAACCGGTTGTACGTTGTAATTGCGAATTTTCAAACTATAGATGTAACAAAAATTATAGTACCAACCACTCACCATTAGATAAAAAATGTCCAACTTTTCTATATTATCAACAGCAGTACAACTTGAAAATCCTTTTTTAAGAAAGAAGAAATTTTAGCCAAAATTTTAGAATATTGCATCATTTATGACACACGAGTATGTAAATAACTTCCAAATTCAACGTATTAATACTAATACTGCTCATGATTGATGAGCTAGATTCTTTTTTACAAAATCCTGAAATATCTGTTAGAATTTATCATCTGAACATCAGAAGTATAAAACATAACTTTGACTACTTTAAATTAATTTTGAAAAGAATACAAAGTGATATAGATATAATCATTCTATCCGAAACATGGCAAGTGGGCGATGTGACTCTGTTTCATTTAGAAGGAATTGTATAATTTTGGTAACCATAATCAAAACGATGGAGTGATGGTGTATGTACGAAACAATCTGCCTTATAACCATACCATATTTACAATCAACAATGAACTAAAAGGTATCAATCTAACAATGCAAATTGAAAATCGTAGAGTCAAAATTACTTGTGTTTACCGACCACCATCTTCAGATCCTCATACATTTATAAGAGACATAGATGAAAGATTAAAAAACAATGAAAACAATCACCTTCATAATCAAATATTTATAGGCGACATCAATATAAACATTTTAGAGGAAAATTATATGGTGAAAGAATATTTAAACATTTTATCAAGTAATGGTTTTTTATCATACATAAATAAAGTAACACGACCCACCAGTAAAACCTGCATTGATCACTGCTTTATAAAGGATATTTCCAATATTTTTTCTTACATGCCTATTATCTATGAAACCGATATTACAGATCATTATTCCACTGTATTATTGATATCTTCACAAAATAAAAACCAGAACTGCCCAAGGGCAAAAAATGAAAGAAACCTTGAATACAAATATTTCACTGACAACTCAAAATTAATATTTAACGCACAAACGGAATCGTGGGACGAAATTTTTTTAACAAATTCTTTAGACGAAACTACAAATTTATTAATACACAAAATTCAAAAAGTAATTGAAGTTAGTACTAATAAGGTTAAAATAAGTCACAAGGAAAAAAGCAGAAATGATTGGATGACCAAAGGACTAATAAAATCTGCAAACGAAAAAGAAAGACTGTATAAAATCATGAAATATTTACCCACGAAAGAAAATATAGATCATTATAATCAGTATAAAAACAAATTTATAGAACTTTTGAGAAAAGCAAAAAAAAATTACTATATAAAACAATTGAATAATAATTCACATGACTCTAGACACCTATGGTCCACTGTCAATGATATATTCAATAAGTCATCCTATTCAAAAAACAATATTAATGAAATAAAAACAAAAACAGGACAGAAAACAGACAATATTCAGCAAATATGTGATGAGATCATAGAATTTTTCACGCATATAGGAGGAAACTTAGCAAATAATATCAAACAAAATGCTGATATTCATCTGCATGAAACAAGACTGAATAATTCATTTGTATTAACTGAAGTAAACTATCAGGATGTTTTCAATGCCATTATGACTCTAAAAAATAAAAAAAGCCCTGGAGTTGACGAAATTAGAGCTGAACATCTAAAGATACTGGCCAAACAAATAACAGAACCACTTGCTTATATCATTAACAAATCCTTCCAATCTGGAGTATTTCCATCAGCTTTCAAGACAGCAATCATCATACCTATCTATAAATCTAATGATAATACGGACGTCACTAACTATCGACCTATTTCACTTATATCAAGTTTAGCTAAAGTTTTTGAGAAATTACTCCTTAATAAAATGATTAATTTTCTTAATAAATTCAAAATTCTAAATTCAAATCAGTATGGTTTTATAGCGGGCAAATCTACAACAGATGGGGTATTAAGTATAGTAGATGAAATAACCCAAAATATAGATGGAAAAGTACCATCGATATGCGTATTTGTGGACTTACAAAAAGCGTTTGACACAGTTAACCACAATATACTTTTGGAAATCTTAGAAAGAATAGGTTTTCGTGGAAAGATGTATACTTTAATGGAAAATTATTTATCAAATAGACCGCAATCAGTAAAATTATTAAGCTCGTATAGTAAAGAAATGTTTGTTAAATGTGGTGTTCCACAAGGTACAATTTTGGGTCCTCTGTTATTCAATATTTATTTAAACGATATATTCAAAATTAACAGTACTGGTAAAATAGTCAGTTTTGCAGACGATACTGATATACTCTATAAAGGTAAGGATTGGAGCGACTTAAAAGATATTATCCAAAACGACTTTTGCAAAATTATTCAGTGGTTTAATAACCGAAAATTAACAATTAACTTTACTAAAACTCATTTTTTACCATTTTCATCACTATCTAATCATCTACCAAAATATAACCACCTTCGGTTTAAGGTAAATGATAAAAATATAAAAATCAATAGAGTTAATGATACAAAATATTTAGGAATTTATCTAGATCCCCACTTGAGATGGGATGTACATATTTCTCACATACTAAAGAAAATTAGATTCATAGCATATAAAATAAAATTTCTAACCGGTATATTAACTGAATATTATCTACGAATAATATATCAAGCTTTAGTCGAGCCACACATAACATATGGTATAGTAGTGCGGGGTGCTGCATGCACGACATACTTTAACGATTTAGATGTACTTCAAAGAAGAATTTTAAAATCAATGTTAGGCAAATCAAAATTATACCCAACTAATGACTTATATAATGATGCACAAGTATATGATACTAAACAACTTTACTTCTTACATACCATCACTCATTATCACAAAACTATTAGTGAACACGACATAATTAAACATAATCATAAAACCAGATATAAATTACGCGCAAAAAATGTTCCTAAACCAAACAAATCCCTTATGAAACGATGTCACCTGTATATAGCTCCAAAATTGTACGAACATTTACCAAATAATTTAAAACAATTACGCAATACATTAGGCTTCAAAAAAAAATTAAAAAAATTTATTAACACGATTGGGAGAAATCAAATTAATAAAATAATCTCAAATATTACACAATAAATGCTCTACCATTCTTACCAATAATTTCTTTTTTCTCTCTATTTTATTATATTTTACAATTCAACATACATAAATATGATCCATGCACAGGCTTTGTCCTCCTATGGATATATTATATTTATTTACTCGTTTCATGTTCCCTGTATTTTAGAGTAAATAAATATTATTATTATTATTATCAGAGTGTTTAAGACCAACCTAAAACAGGTTTAAGTATACTAAGTGACATATAAATCCGAACACACGGTTTAAATGGATTTATTTTAATAAAAGTTGGTGAATGTATTTATCTTCCTGTAAATAACAAGTGAAAAAATTTTCAGCCTTATCAGTTGGACATTCCGGTTTTTATACTGCTTTTTTTAATTCACTAACGCTCTAAAAATGAATATTTCTGCCGCAGTAAAGAATCAACGTTGGCGGATTTTGGTTCTTGACATCCTTCACAATCGGTTACGATGCCTAGAGTACGGAGACCTGTACGATTTCGTCAACTTAGTGAGTTTGATAGGGGCCGTATAGTGGGACTTCGGGAAGCTGGACTTTCTTTTCGGGCAATTGCAGTTAGAGTGCAAAGAAGTGTAGACACTGTGGTTAGGTGTTGTCAGGCATGGCTTCGAGAAGGCCGTACGCAAAGAGCAAGGGGCACTGGACGCCGCCGTAGAACAACAGACCGTGAAGATCGCCGCCTAAGATTATTGGCCTTAAGGGACCGTTTCTCCACTACCAGGTCCATTGCAAATGAATGGTTTGCAGAACACGCAAGAGCAACTGGCATGCGAAGTGTTTACCGACGAATGAGAAGTTTTGGCTTGTTTCATACCGGCCACACTGGGTCCTCCCTTTAACTCGAGAACACCGACGTAATCGCCTTGAGTGGTGCAGACAACGGTCACTCTGGGATCAGGAATTGAACAGTATTGTCTTTAGTGACGAGTCTCGATTTTGTTTAGGCATACACGATGGTCGTGCCAGGGTTGGAAGGCGACGTGTTGAAAGGAGGAATCCACAGTTTTTTGTTGAAAGACATGTTCATCACACTGTTGGAGTTATGGTTTGGGGTGCTATAGCTTATGGTTCCAGGTCACCTTTAATCTTCATCAGAGGTAACATGAACGCGCAGCATTATATTCACGAAGTTCTAGAACCCCATCTTTTACCCTATCTTGACACCCTGGCAGACCCAACTTTCCAACAAGATAATGCCCGACCACTTGTTGCAAGAGTCACAATAGACTTCTTTCAACATGATGATGTCACATTGTTACCATGGCCATCAAGATCTCCCGACTTATCCCCAATTGAGCACGTGTGGGATATGATGTATAGGAGATTGCTCAATTTGCAACGTCCTCCTCAGACTCTAGAAGCACTTCGAGAGGAGTTGGTGGTTTCCTGGAATGAGATACCACAGGAGGACATTGACCACCTGATCAGAAGCATGCCTAGGCGCGTTGGAGAATGCGTAGCACATCAGGGTGCATCCACACATTATTAAAGGTCAAAGGGGTTTAAATCAGTGCAATCATTTTGAAATTGTTATCATTTACTTATTATGCTTCATTAAGTACTTATACAAAATTTTAATAAAATAAAACCATTTAAACTGGGTGTTCGGATTTATATGTCACTTAGTATATAAGATTGACTGCAGGAAATCACTGTGCATGTAAGCATCCAACAACCGGAATTGGTCATGATTAGATTTTTACTAGAGTTCGATTTTGATATCTGTACCCAGAGACCACTGGGGGTGCATAAAGTCCCATATTGTAGCACATTTTCCAACTATAGCGACATATTTCTCTTGAAAGCCACTCCGAATCATGAATCTTTATATCTATCACCTCGTTCGTTCTGCTTTTAGGAAAGGATCCTAGACTACGTCGAGAGTTTGCCGCAGGAAATAAATCTCGGAGGCGGGTTGTGGATAAAGCAGAATCAAGGCGATAGGAATTTCAGGTAACTGGCTTACTATAACCACCGGGTGTTGACAAAAGTACCGAACACATACCTTTTTGTGTTGTTTTAGAAGTTAGCATTTTGAACTCTGGTACACATTCACAGTATGCAGAGATAACAGAAGGACCGGACTACCTCTAAAAACCGGTTACTGTACAGATCAACCTGTGGTCTCTGAAAGAGTCAGCCACCTGTATGCTTTCACCTGTCTTTGGGCTGCGACAAAAATGTAAATAAACTTATAGAAAGGTTGCCAGCAGGTAGTAGACCTCCGGCATCCGAGACTGTCCGAAGCAAAATCGGAGGTGGGTCGCATGTACACGGCGATTCAGGAAAACAGATTGCGGCTTCTGGTTACAGAGCAAAATGAAGCACTAAGTTGCCGATGTTTCGATGCCCTTGGCGGTCAATCGATAATCAGTGACATATATTCTAAAAACTATTTTCAAGTCGCAATTTTTTTGCAGCAAGTGATATTTCTGTGCAGCAAAACAATAATAACGGATCACTCTGATTAACCACAATTACTCTATGCCGTTAAAAACAATTTTCCGACTTTTAAACTTACGTAATGTACGCCAAGGCACTATAGCTCCACTCTATAAGTGGCAATAAGAAATTGCGGGACCTCTTCGGGTCACGACCCGTCCTGTAGGCAAAGCTGGTGAAAAGAGATCCGGTTTTTGAGAAAAATGTGGGCATCCTTTTGAAGTCCGAAAATCGAAGGATCAAACGATTCTCCGTGAGTTCTTCTTGTACAGGTAACCCTGAACTTTTTGATAATAATATGCTCAAAGTTCTACCTTGCAACGGCCTAGGTCACAAGTCTTGTATGTCATCCTATATACTATATGTAGTTAAATTGGCTGTAAGCATCGTTTACAACTTCTAGTATTAGTCACTCTAGCTAGAGACATTTATTTAATTAAAGATTCTCATAATCCTCCAGGCGACTGCAAAATTTCCGGTATATCCATAAATGGGCTTCTGAAGTATTATAGTATCTACGAGAAAAATTAGCATCACCCATTCCTGTGGGTATGTCAACTCATTTACTGATGTTTGCAATCGCATAATGTCAGAAATCTCCGATAAAGCTTGACGCGATATGCCGTAGGGTCGTACAAAGTAATATTGGGTCATTTTTGAAAATCATTGTAATCGTTGTGTTTTCCGATTTCACCACGTTCCGTAAATCAGAGAAGTGATCCGAAACTTCATTTCGACAGACACTGAAATATCTAAAATTCACTTATTATAATAATAATATGCAAATCCGACAAATTGATAAAACAGTGCTATAAAATAAAATGAGGGAATTCCATGAAAAGCCGTGTATGACATACCCATATTTATCATTTATTGCAGCATTCCAGATTTCGTTAACTGACAAAAAACTATAAAGTTGTTCTGTATGAAAGAATGGCGTCAAGTAGGTTGGCCCTACACATCGCGCGCAACGCGGTTTATGTTCAGCAAAAGTTATACCCAATGGAAAAAATTAACGAGCATAAAAAACAGGGAAATTCAACAAATCAAGTCATTTCAAGAGGCCCATAAATATTCCTTTTATGCCCTATCGATAGTACTTACTGTCCATCTAGAAACGTTGCCCTACACCGCACGATTCGTCAGCCACAGCAGCGCGCTCCTGCGGCACTAACGGCAAAACACTCATCGAGACCTTGACGCCGGCGGACACAGTGAGAGGGAGCAAAGACACGAATTTTAAACATTACCATACCAGTCTAAGTTTTGAAGGCAAATGTTCAAGAAAACATGACAAGTGTGAAATATGACTAATAGGTGGGTACAATTACCAGAGCTGCAGGCGTACAAATATACATCATCATCGATAAGCTGATCTTTACCCTTCTCCACACACTACTACACTCTAAAACGTCAAAAACAAAGTGTTGAGCAAATTTATTGTTTTCGTTCTTTTACCCCTACTTCTGCCGCTACTCGATCGATTTTCAACACCTGTAAAGCATTTTCCTCCTTGGCATCCTTCGTAATACTCTTGTGTGAAAATTTTGTCAAAATCTGAGCGGTGCCTTCCATGTTACAGACGGCCCAACGATTAGCGGACAGACTGACGGACAGACAGGCTGATGGTAATGAGTGACGTGATTTTTTGTAATGCACATGTTATGTTACATCCAAGAAACATAAACTATTTTCGAAATTTTTTCGCGATTACAATATTTCCTCGCCAATGTCGTGGGAAGTAAAACGCACGATGTATGGAAAGTATGCAGTTGTTTTACCTTATTCCACATTTTATTCGTATCTGAAGAATTACCATTGAACAAATATGAATTTATTTCCATTGGCGTACAGTTTTTCATATAGTTCAAACGAAAAAAAAAAACAGCCAATAAGAAGTTAAGACCAATAACAACCTTGCACAGGTGGTGGTTTCCATGCGGTTCTAAACAAATGTCAACTCATAACATAACCCTTCCCCAGCTTTTAGTGCCTTTTGTGTTTGATTTGAACAAGGTGACTTTTACTTAATGCTTACTTGTAATAGGCGCGCATTGAAGATGACATTTTTACACCATATAGGTTTGTTACGTTTGTACTGCCGGGCAAACATTTCAAAAATAAAGAATCATTCCTTATAGGTTCCAGATATGTATTTAGCATAGATGGTGAGTTTTTAGTGTGTAATCGATCGTTTCCATTATTACAAAATATGTAAAAAAATTGATCACAAAAAAATTATATGCAAACGTAAGTAATTTAAAGCTAGCTACGTGGAAGCCCAATCATTGTTTTTTAAGCAAAATATCCTGCACGTTCTGAAAGGCACCGTCAAAGGGTTATTTTGTCCGGAAAAAAACACTAAATTTTGCCAAGTTATGACGTGGTCAGTTTTGCATTTGAATGTTTTTCGTTTAGTTTCATTTATCATCTATACATCTGATCAACATATCATGACTTTTGACAAGGCGAAAAATCCGCTCTGTATCAATATCATAATCTTACCTCTTTTAATAGACAAAATGAAATACCTGGCAAACCTAGGACTGGCGGTGAAGCTCTGGATAAGAGGTTACTGGACAGAATCAGCGAGTATGTTCGAACACATCGGGTGGAGTTCCTCATGCCTCAGGGAGCCCTAAAGGAATTGGATAAGGCAGTTGTCGAAGGTAAGTTAGGGCGTGCATTCTCCACTAATAATAACAGGTAATATTCTTAGTGCCTACTTTTATAGTTTACATAAGGTGAAACGGATTAATTGGGTGATTTTGACTTCAATTTTCAAGTCTGGAACATAAAAATATATTCTTCACTATACACATGGATTTCTTATGGATATGCATGTCTTAACCATAGTTCAGTCCTCATTAGCACAACTAGCCGAAGCTGATGATGGAGCTCATCGTTCACAATACGTACAATACTGGATCACAGAGGTCGCGCACGTGGCGCTGCCCATTGTCGCCAAAGGTTAAAACCAACGATTCTCAACGGGCGACTTGTGCAACCTTTGGGTGTTACTTCGTGAGCATCTGGATCTTCATTATCAGCTTGCCCAGTTGTGTTGATCAAGCTGTGGTCGGGATGTGCCCGTCCACAAGAAAGCCACGAGCATAATGCAGAATATACGCTAGATCCCTGTCAGCTGGAGACAGGCCAAAGTTAGCGGACCGCTCATGGAGCGAAAAACAAAGGTTTTTGCTATCAACTAGTCATATTTGTGATAGATCCCTGTCGAGAAATTTGGTTCAAAAGGCTGAAACTAATCATTTTCGAGCAGCGCCATGACCTTAGCTCATTGTTATATAACATAAGCGTTTAAAACCATTACAGTCCATCAAAATCTGATTTGACATTTTGACAGTATTAGGATACATAAAAAATATGTTTTTATATGACCAAGTGATAATATGGAATGCTTAGTAATATGAAGGGCATAGGAACACATACTCGTTGACATAAGACGTGTTACACCCAGAAAAAGTAATTTCTTCGATTTGATTTTTTGGCAATGATGTAGTCCTACATCAAGAATGAAACGATAACATTCTCAAGAAGTTTTATTGACAAGTAATAAGAAAAAAGGTTAATAATGTGTTGTGCGACCCCGCATCTAAATACACTCCTGTATACGTCTAGGTATTGACGAAATGTGATGATTGATGCCTGTTTGTGGCACCTCATTTTAAGCAACTCGAAGTTCGTAGATTAGCTGTGGCAGAATCAGTAGCGCATGGTGCAAAGTGGATAGTCTTCTTCCCACCATATCCAACACATGTTCGATAGGATTCATATCCGGTGAACGGGGTGGCCACGGCAAGACATTTAAGTCTGCTTTATGCCAAAAGTCCGTAGTACGACGAGCAGTATAGGGACGTGCGTTGTCTTACTGAAAAAGGACATTTGGACAGCCCTCTAGATACGTCAGTAAAGTGCTTTGTAGGACATCATCAACGTAACGCGCAGCAATCGTATTACCTTGAACAAAGAGAAGGGGTGTTCTACGGCGACGTCTCACCCTACTACGACCATCGTGCGTATCTAGACAAATCCCCGATTCGTCGCTGAAGACGAAGTTCTGCAATTCTCCCTCCCAATGTTGCCGTTATCTGCCCCGTTCTAACGTTGACGATAGTGGTCCGCAGTCACAGGAAGCACTAACCGTGGACGGTATGAGAAAAGTCCAAAGGCTCGAATGCGGCGATAGAGTGTACGCATAGTAACAGGTCTACCTTGATCTCCAAATCATTGGTCAGCGATCTGACGCATAGTAGCAAAACGGTCTTGTAGGCCTAATTGTCTGAAGAGCCTATCTTGACGCCCTGTGGTACGCCTACGGTGAACCAGTCGGCCTTTTTAGTGTTCCTCTACCTTGTTCTATCCATACACGATACTCACGCACTACCATCGTTGCATTGCAACTAACTCAGCAGCCAATTTCGCGATAAGACAAACAAATATCTCGATACGTAATAATTCTACCCCTGTCGCAGTTACTAACATCGTTATAATTTGGGCGTCTTCGAACTCGAGACATTTTGTTATGCTTAACACTAGTAAATGAAAGGGAAATAACTAAAAATATCTTTAATAGTCAACTTTCAGAAACTGCTTTCTTCACAAAAACTATGAAATAACATTTTAACAAAAGTAAATAAAAACAAAGATTGACATTGCCGCCACAGTATGCACTGAGTATAGTCATTATGTTGCCAAATCAAACAAGTGGAAGACCTTACTTCTTCTGTGTGCAACACTTCTAATGTCGCTGAATATCCTATTTTGCTGAAAATGGACGTTTTCGCAAAGCTGCTTAACAAATAAAATAATCAATGCATTTCGTTATTCTACCTCCTTGTTTTCAAGAATTAACCTGATCTCAAAACGTTATCTAACCTGTTTATCATGCAAACTCAAGAATTTCAAGAGGTATTCCACCATACAAGACTTAACTTCTTTTTTAATATTTTACAGGCAGGAAAAAGAAGGGTAACAAAGGAGGCGGTGGAATGGGCATGAGAGGGATGATGATGATGTTCTACCTTAAAGCGGCTGCATTGGGCGCTATCGCGCTCAAGTTCATCGGTGCTGTTGCATTCAAGGCCCTTCTTGTAGGCAAAATTGCACTAACAATAGCCCTAGTGATTGCACTCAAGAAGCTGACAGATCAACAGCACCATACGTCGACATATGAAGTAGTTGCCCCTCATCACTATGATGATGCTTCGCACTATGACAGGTCGTTTAAGGTGGATCCTAGTTACAAGGACAGCATTGGTGGAGTTAGAAGTTAAAAAATATAACTAATAATAAAATGTTCTCAAGATATCCGAGATTTGTTGTATGCGGACGAGAGTATGTCAAAGTGTAGTTATAGAACCATCAATCACAAAAGGCAATGTAGCTTAATCTTTTCTGATCTACTGGTTCCCTGGGATGACTTATCGTCAAGTCAGTGTTTCCTTCTATACTACCTATGATGACAGGCACTAGTTCTACATAACCAATAGGTATAGAATGAATGACTTATAACGAAAAGACAAATCTGGCTGCAAACGGTTAACTAAATAGAATGTATGGATTATTATAATTATTTCATTATATCATATACCTGTATTATTGTATTACGTCTGTTAAAGCATCTTCTACATTATACCAGGATGAATCTTAGTCAAGTGTGGTCAATGATGCAAGACACATCTTGAGGATTTTGTGGTCAGAGGCCTAACTACAAAATTTTGGTTCGGAACCACCACAGTATGCAGCATATCTAGAGGTCACTCAGTAAACTGGTTAATTTGAAAGATTTGCAGATAGTCATTTCTTTTTAAGTGAAATAGATTAAAATCTGGAATGTAGTCACATGTCGCATGTGCGTCCTTCGACACCAGAGCTTTAGGATTATTATTTATTATGTGTTTTGTACTTTGTTATAATTGTATCAGTAAGAGTAAAGCTATTTATTTAATTTATTGAATTATAGTTAGGTGAATAAGCATAATGAAAATTATAGAAAGGATTTGTAATAGACGATATGAATATAAGATTTGTTTTTGATTGCTATATTGCGCTTATCATCCGATTTTGTTTCTCATATTCCATGAACACCTTATGGACTTGATTATACTCTTCTCGCATTATTCCCTACTCGGCGGCTGATAGAGAACTGCATATCAAAATAAGTTCTCAATCATCTCTTGACTTTCAATAAACTGGAATATGTTTATTTAAGGCTAAAGTGTTATAGAACCTTCGTAAAACGATGAGGATTGTAACAGTCTCGTCTATTTAATGCTGCTAATAGAAGTGTGTGCCATAAAAAGCATTTGCTGACTTGTTTTAACAACTACCACCGCAGATTGGTACTTATAGTAATGATTTAGACCTGTATGATACGATACATCACTAGTTTGCATACGACCCCTAAAAAAAGTGATGAGCAAAATGATATTTTGATTGCAGATAAGTTCAATACGAAAATACGGAATACATCTCCATCAAGATATGACAACGTCTTTTACAAAAAAAGCATCACCGTACTATATAACGGGAAAACGTGATCCATTAAACAATTTTTCTGGAAAAACTCCATTACTCGTAATGAATGTTTTAATTATTCTAAGTAACAATTTAATTGAATTTTCTACAACAAGGTTAATTGAAATTTAGGCACATTAGTTTAAGACTATTGGATCAATGCTATGAAACTAATTTGCCTAAATAATATTCAAGGTGTATAGCTATAAATTGACCCCATCTAACTTCTTTGTATGACCGTTTAGAAATAATATTATATAAAAGTAGTAGGATCTAATATACAGATTTTGGTACAATCTTGTTTCTATACAGGGTGTTGTAAAGGAGTGGCAGTAGGTTGTATTATTTCAAGTAGAAGACCCTATATAAGTTTAGTGAAAATGATATCCACTTTTTTGTCTGATTCTAAACATATACGGTTCATCCTACTCATTTTCCATTAGTTTGGTAAAAAAATTAAATTTTGCGTGCTATTTATTCATGAGTATGCGAGTTCAAACCTCTTTGCGTTTGCAATCTGTCATAGGGCCGACTCCATATGATTAAATGACATATACAATGTTTTTGACTAAAGTAATGAAAATAAGCATAATAAACAGTACACACTTAGGACCAGAAGAAAAGTGACTATGAGTTTCGATAAAAAAAAATTTTAAAAAAATATAGCTTCAAAAGAGAGAACTTTTATGATACACCCTACAGGAAAAATACATCGCATTAAATCCTTTATTGTAGACCCTAAAACTTTTGTATAAAACTTATTTTTCTAAAAGGTCATGCAAAAAAAATAATAGCGGTCAACTTTATTACAGTGGGACACCCCTGTACCTTGTCCCCTACCTGTTTTATTGAATTGTCTAATTAGTTTAGATAATTTAGTTTATGGAGTAGATGTACATGTAGAGCAAATAAGGATTTCGATAAAAACAGTTAAACCGTGTGAACGTTAATTTGATAAACTGGTTTACTGTTCTGATGGATTCAGTGTTTATGTTGTATAGTGTGTATGTATTAGAAGTGGAGCCTTCTGTTGGTGCAAATAGAAAAATAACTGGTAAAAATTGGACCCCCCTATATGGTAAGTTCACTATCAATTAAAATAAATAACTCTTTGTCCAAATATACCTTAAAATCTAAATCAAATAAATGATTTAATTAAATAAATAGTTTGACCTACACTAATTAAACAGATTTAATAGATAGAATTAGTTTGATTTTCTTGTAGCAGGTAAACTCATTTTAATGGCTCATTAATATCAAAAAAGTTGTTACTCAGTCCAGGTAATGATAAAATTACTAAGCTCAAAAACCTATTGTATTTTGATTCAATTACCTAAGCTTTTTTGATAGATTCAATTAAAATGTTTTATAAATGGAAGCTTATTAAAATTTTTTAGCTGCGACATAGTAAACTAACCTTTGTAATTCGTTTACTCATTTTTTTTCACTGTATTATACAAAATTATATTCAATGCATTCAGTAACCTAGTTAATTAATACTTGATATATATATATATATATTGATCACACAGCTATTGTTTATTCATCATATCACCCTCTACCGTAATTAATTTGCAAGTGGGTACCTTTAGTGATGCAGCAGCGGTTGCCGCAGTAGTAGACTATTCGGTCTCCTGATCAGTCGCCGTGCGCTGTGCGGGTTCGAATCCCGTCAAAGGAGAAATTTTTCTCTTGGCTATGGATGTTGTAATTGTCCGTTGGTGGTAGACGGTCTCCGAGTGTCGAACGCGGAGGTACCACCTGGCGGATCTCGTAGGCAGTGCCAGAATGTGGGCATGTTGCATGCACACGTGTTCCCTCGCCAGAGTCCGTGTGGCGTTCCCCCTTCCCCCTATAGCCCCACGGTACCCAATGAGTGTTTAGGCCTTAAGCATTCGTGGTAGTTGGTGAATAAAAAAATAATGTTTGAAACAAGCGTTAATACTACTAACCGTTGTTTTGTACTATATGCTAGCATTTGTCAATTTATTTTCGTTATTCGCACGCACTGCTATTTGAAATGACAAACGAATTAACTTTATGTCAATTTATTTGTTATTCTATGCCTAATAATTAACATGCGCTATTTACTGCCTAACAAACATGCTTGTGATTTATGGTAGCATGGCAGGCAAACAATATTGCTATAAAGTTTGCTTCCCGCACGCAATTTTAGTTCCTTGTTTACATAAAACTGACGGCTCCAATCACATGGGGGGACAAAAAACTTCAGTTTTCTCTAGTAATCCGCAGTCCAGTCATCAGCTGTCAAAATGAAATAACATACATTAAATGCTTTTGTCTTAATATCTATTAGAAGTAATTATGTGTACAACATAATAAAGTGGATGCGCCCAAACATACAAGCCTGAGACCCTTTGATTACGTTACGTATCACTTTTTAGTAGGATTAGGAATATTTTGAATGCCATATAGTGTAGCAAATCGCTTAAACTTTGTTCACCATAAATATCTTCACGGAAGAATGTCTAGGGTAATTCAATTTGGTAATCTCGGGATCAGATTGCATCATGTAATGAGGTTAAAATGCTAATAAATTTCATGTTACAGTGATCTCATCATATTTCGCGTGTCTCCTTGTTTCAGAGTGAAGCGAAGGTATTTTCAGCAAAATTAAAAACTTTTAATGTTTGTAATAAATATTTTTTCGAGGTTCTTGCTTTAGTAACACTCAAAGCATACCTGTTGAAGTTCGACGCCGGAACAAATAATTCATTTCACCATCATTAGTAACAAGAGTTCCACGTTACGTAATGCAAGTGTTTCCAGGTTAACCGATTTTTCGGTAGCTCTACCATATTTTAGTCCTATTCCACTGAACTGCCTATTTTAATACGAAATCTACCGAAAAATTTATCAAACTCTTAAATAGTACATTTTTGACACAATCCAATGGAACACGAGAATATAATCATTCGTCCCTACCCCGTTCCTCAATTTCCTGTTAGTGAAATCTGGAGCAACATTCCGGTCACACATCCCCCATTATTCAACTTTCAAATTCAGGTGGAACTCGTGCCCCCTATATCCAATTTTCAGCAACTGGCAAGTTGTTCCTTTTGAGTTTACCGTTTACCGAAAAATTACAGGATCATATACCAAAAAAAATCGCACAAATTTTCAATACATATTTCGTAATTACTCTATACGCTTTAATCCCTTCGTGCTCAATGCATAACCGCTCCTTCATGCTGCTTGAAGCTACTTCTAGATCGCACCACCCCACGCGGAACGAAGCAGAGGAAACCATACATTTCGTCTGGGAACATTGACCTACGATACTATCAAGGTAAGTGGTTACCTCAAGCGCCTTTTTTTTCCAAATTCTCTTACGGTCCACTAGCTTGCCACGTTAGATCGAAACGCATTTTACTTCCCACGCTTCAGGCGAGAATAGTATAGATCGTGATGGATACTCGTGGAATAGGGCTACCCAGCGTTCTTTAATTATGAGTATTATAACAATGCATTGTCAGAAGCACCCCTTCGGTTGTTCAATACGCGTCAGAACCTGAAAAATGATCTTTTTTCCCAACGCCCTTATAGCAAATATGTATTTTTTCGGTCTCAATGAATCTGCCTTTCCCATCAGGCCGCCAGCTTGGCCCCCATTACACAAGCATCGCTTAACGGGAGCAAGATCGTAGATCATTGCCACTAATCGTCGCGTCTTGGGTTTTCAATTCAATGATCACCATTACTGGAACGTCGGGAATTATCACAAATGAAATATAAATCCGTTTGAGAATTTCCAATTCTATTTAGTGTATGATTTGAAATAGTTCCCAGTATAAATCTTAATGGTCATCAAATGTCAAATGTGTCATTTTTTAAAAACTTGATTCTCCGTGAATAAACAAATGTAATGTCTTGTGTAAACACAGATTTGTTGTGGATTATAGTGTAAACAAGTCTGCCGCTCTGCCGGTGTATATAGGTATATCCTCCGAACTTTGATGATCAAGAGCGACTCGGTACAAAAGATAAACAATAAAGGTTTCTCAACATATTCCGCGCAAGGATCGTATTTAAAGGAGAAATTTGAAATGCCGTCAAAGTATTTCAAGAACCCATTCCCAGAACATGCAGAAAATTGTCCAGACTTACTCGAAGGAGGCAGAGTAAGATAGTTTTCTATAGAAATATTGATAGCGTCCTATTTTTGTTCCTTGAAGCAGCTTTGCTTATATTATTCACCCTAAGATTTCATGTTACTAGAAAGACGTTTGGGTTGATCAGGAGAGAAGCTATAGTTTTGGCGAAGAGCAGAGGCAGAGATTTTCTTTCAGAGGAAGAGAAGGCTAAAGATAGATAGGAACACTTCTTGCAGTTTAAAGAGCAGCAGCAGAATATGAAGGGAGATGACCAATGAAAAAGTGTTTGTGTTTAGGCCACCCTCACAGCTTTTTGATTAGTAAAAAGTATGTAGGAACTAGAGGATGACACTCCTTTGGTCCTTCCTATAAAGAATGAATG